TATAATACACTTCTGGACACATCTATTGGCCCACCTTGTATTTTCAGTTTCGTTTGGTCCTAGCTAAAATTTTATATTAGGTCGAGCAAAAAGTTTTTATGCAGTTTTGAACCTGGCACATTCACAATTTCATTCAATAGTCTTTTTTTGAATTTCGAACACAGAATTTAAAGAAAAAAAAGACAATTTGGAGCCTGTTTGTTGATATCAAACAACCGAATAGTAAGAAAACTTGGTTTTATTGGTTTACTTGCATTTAATTCTTGAAAAAGTGATTGATATCTTTGGTTTTGCAACAAACATTACTAAAGGTTCTATCAATAATCTATGGATACTTCACCTGAAGTCGCCGCCCAAGCTGTGGCACTTATTCAGGCTGGACACAGCCAAAGAACTCAACTTAATTTAAGTCGATCTGCGGTCCGAAATGTTTATCGGAGGTACCTAGAGACTGGCGGCTTTGTTCGTCGCCAAGGAAGGCCACGATCTCGGGTCGCAACTGAAAGGCAGGATCGATTCATCGTGACGACCAGCTTGAGAAATCGTCACCTTACCTCCATTGAGATACAAAAACAAATTCGCGACTTCCACGGAGTATCTGTGAGTGCTCGAACTGTTCGAAGAAGGTTAAAAGAACGCGATATGGTACCACACAAGCCAGCTAATGGGCCCAAACTAACGCGAGCTCACCGAACAGCGCGCCTTCATTTCGCACGCAGTCATTTAAATTGGACACAGAAGACAGGAGCCTAGTACTCTTTTCTGATGAGTCTAAAATTGTGTTACATGGCAATGATGGAAGGAAGAAGGTCTACCGACGTAAGGGAGAGCGTTTCGCACAATGCTGCTTTGAAGAGAGGGTTGCTTATCGCGGTGGGTCATGGGCTGTCTGGGGCGGTATATCCGCGAGCGGCAAAACTCAACTTGAGGTTGTTACAGGACCACGGCTGCCAACATTAAATGCTGAAAGGTACATTCGTGAGTGCTTAGAACCTCACGTGATACCATACGCGGACTATGTGGGCCCAAATTTCCTTTTTATGCATGATAATGCAAGAGCCCATGCGGCCGGCATCGTCAGGGAATATCTTCGGGATGTGAACATCTCAGTTATGGACTGGCCAGCCAGAAGCCCATGAATATGAACCCCATTGAGCACATGTGGGACGAGCTAAAAATACGTGTTAGGGCTCGTCAGCCAGTTGCCCAGATGATGCAGGAGTTGAAAACTGCCATAGAAGAGGAATGGGAGATGATCCCTCAAAATTTCATAGAGCGGTTGATAAACTCTATGCCTAAATCGTATGAGAGCTGTGGTAGATGCCCATGGAGGCAACACGCGTTATTAAATTAAACCTTTATTTGATAAAACATGTTTTTTATTCAAAAATCAATTGCCTTTAACAAGGCGCATATCCGACTTGTTAGGCATAGCTCCATGTCGTATGGTATTCTGAATTCAAATTTAAAACAATACGATCGAAAAAGATGGTAAAATGTATCAGGTTTAAAACTGCATCAACAGTTTTTGTTCAATCTAGCAATCATATTTCGGTAGGGGCCATCGAAACCTAAACTCTAAGGTGGGCCAATAGATGTGTCCAGAAGTGTACATATTTACAAAATGATGACTAGTGTGTGATATTTTTGAAATTGTGTGTTTCCAGAAATACATAATAAAATATATGATGAATATCGATGATGTTAGATGATAAAATGTGTGACGTGGAACCTATGATAATCGAAACCATGGGACGATTCCTGAGGTATCTCTACTTGTAACCGACTTCTTCGGCCTTGATTTTGTTTTGTGTCTGTTCAAAGACAATCGTTTTTAGAGTGTAAACTCCGGTCATGCGTCGGAGCTGACACACGCATTTTTTTTAAATATTTTAGGTCTATTTGCAGCAATTTTGCTAATTCTCAATCTACATAAAACCAAACTCAGCACATACAATAATGTCAAATTAACATCGACGTTTTGATATTTTTCTATGGGTTAAATCTAGTTTCAGATGAATCGAGATTTAGCAATTTGCTTTAAGTGGGCTTTATTGCTTATTATATTCTTTTGTTAATAATAACCAATTTGATTCAATACTGACTAAAGCAATAAAGCGTTTGAATAAAATATTATACATTTCATAACGATAATATAAGATATCAATTGACAAAACTTGCAGTTTGTGTAAATGAGCATTTCGCTTAGACTTTTTTGATGTGCGTATTTATGAATGACTGTGTGACTATAATATTCTTTAAGGAAAACACTCCTAGTAATATTAATTTCAAGTAGATGATTGTCATTATGTTTACACATCGTACCTACCTATGAAATAAAATAAGCAGGATAATACTTTACAAACTGGGATGGCCTCAATTCCGGTTCCTGGAGTGAGCAAGTTCGGAGAAAATTACAGCGTTTTGATGTCTACTCATAGGCTGTTTGCTTACAGTTTTAACAGCAATTTTTTCCCCGTAGTTCTCCGCTCTAACGCGCTTTCCTCTTCTCACTAGGTAAGTGCGGGCTCGTTTCGTTTTCGTTTCTGCACCGAATCTGTACAGATCCTTTACGAGAACCACTTCTTTAGAAACTCAGTTTCAGTACGGTATCGTTTCGTTTTGTCTGCCACGGTTTTGTTTGCGTTGGTGACGGGACGGGCGAGTCTAATACTGCATTAGCACTCGTTAGCACTCGGTACAGAGAGCTGTGTATTTATTTATTTACTCTTCATTGTTAGTCAACAATTGGCGGAGTTAATGCCATAAGACATTTTTTACCGGTCAACCGTCGGGCTAAGCTAAAGGAAAAAATACGACGGTAAAGGAAATCAGAGAAAGAAATGGAGCAACCAGAAAATAAAAACCATACAAATATATATCCAGGGTTAATTTTAAAACACCAACAACCTCTTAGGGGGTGATTCTTCCCATCAACAGGAATAACTTTTATTATGGGACCAACTCTGACATCGCGAAAAAAAAACAGCTGTTTCATATATTTCGGTCGTTTAGCTGATGCACTTTTGTATGAAACAGCAGAATTTTTTTTCGCGATTTCAGCGTTGGTCCCATAATAAAAGTTGTTCCTGTTGATGGGTAGAATCGCCCCCTAAGAGATTGTAGGTGTTTTGAAATTAACCCTGTATACACACATAATCTGCCTCCTCGTGATAGGGTGTTATGTGAAGGCATATAAATATATCCCCTGAATAAAAAAAATAAAGAACGTGACCTATATTAGCAGTAGTCCCAGGGTATTGGGGGCATACCATTTATAAACGTGTATTTATTAAAAGTAAAAAATATATTTACTTATTTACACACACACAGACACACACACACACACCTACATATATATGTACATCAATAAATACCTATAAAATAGTGTCCGATTATAGTATCCTGATACAACTTACGCATTCTGCAATAGATTAAAATAATGTTCCCGCACCGAAGTCTTAAACACAGTCCTGTTTGAAGAGCGTTTCAAACATCTAGAGGAAGTGAATTCCAGAGCCGAATGGCATTAAGGGTGAATGAGTTGGAAACAATTTGATACTTGAAGTACCCATTCACCACACTGTACCTAGTGTGGTGAATGGGTACTTCAAGTATCAAATTATCATAGAATCGAATATTTAATTGATGGGAACACCCTAGGAGCTAAAACCTAGATTTCAAATGTCCAGGGGTGCGTGAATCATATAGTAAGTTGAATAGGGTGCAAGCTGTCCTTAAATAGGTACCTACGCTCTCGAATAAGCAGCACTTAAGTCTATTGCGGAACATTGAAAAGTGTAGTGGTATTGAGAAGTCGATTCAATTTAGTAAGACAATGTTGATTTATTTATTGTAATAAAACAAACATCAGAGGTGATGAACAAAGCATTGTGTACAAGAGAGATTTTAGTGCACAGTGGGAAAAAAATCTTTAGATGATAAAGCAATTAAATATCTTAGTCATACAAATTCAAACATATTATTATTTTTAACCTAAATTTATATGAGGTACGGAGCCCTAAAATCATGCTCGAAAACCAAAAATAAAAAAATAAGCATCCAATCACAACCGGTACAACACAAAGAGAAATGGCCTTCTTCCCAAAAAAAAACAAAAACTTTCGAAACCGTTCCTACGTCCAATGTAACTTGGCACTTTCTTTCCGACTACCAGTCTAATAATTAATTCATAGATGATAGCTCTATCGTAACTGGTTTCTAACGGCCTAATCAACAGTAATCGTGCGCATATGCCGACACTTATGTCTTTGTAATAGAGTTCCATTTGTTCTGAATATTAAACTATGAATACATTTATAAGGAGGCTGCGTTCCACTTTATGGTCAAGTGCATCGGTGTGGCCAGCTTGAACATTTTTCCTCGTTAATCGGATAAATGTAGCTGCATGGTTTTTTATTTATAAAAAAAAGTCATTTTAGTTTCCACTCTAGTTCAATTATAAAATATGAAAATACTTCTCGATCAGAAAATATGATATATAAAAATATTTAAATATTTTAAACTTATCATAATTTTAAAGAAAATATAACTAGAAAAAAATCCACGCGGACCAGGCAGCAGACGGGATTCGAACTCGCACCCTTCGCAATCCGGGCGAATGCACTGACCAATTATGCTACCACGGCCCTCACGGACCGCGTCGAAATTCTTCTAGCCATTCTCAAGCTGCAAGGCAGCGCCATCTCTTTGCATTATAGGTAACCCACAATGTCAAATGAATACTTTTACAAGTATTAAACATTTGAAAGAAGAAATAGCAATTATAGTTATAATTTTTATTATTTTAAAGCAAATTTTTTATTTTTTGTTCATCGGTAAACATTATATGCATATATAATTAGAGAATAACTTTTTCAGAGTCACGAGTAAATAACGCTGACCTTGAAAATACATCGAACTAGGTGTTAATTAGAAAAACAAATGGCAACACTGTGTAACAAGTACCCCGAAGTTTTACACGCATTTCTTCTCCAATCGCTTCACCGATCGGTTGCTCAAATAATTATTAACTAAAGCAGTTTTAAATTTTTACTTGAAAAAGTTTTTAGGCGGTTCGTGTTTCCTTTTTAAAAATGGTGGTTTCGTACGCCGTTTCGCGCGTTCTAAGGCGCGCGTCGCCATTCCTTTTTCAAAAAAGGTGTGAGTCGACAGTTGCCAGTTTCACCAAAGACGAAATTTTATTGATGCTGAGACCTCCTTTCACGAATTGGAGTAACATCATAAGGGATGCTGAAAAAGTAGTCGGATATCCGACTTCTTTTATGAATTTAAGGTGTTTGTTGAGTGATGAATTCGCTAACCTTGCCTTGTATTTGAGGAAATTGGTGAGTGATTTTTATTTAACATAAATCCCTAGTTTACTAATGCCAAATTCAGTTTAAATGGGCTACAGTGAGGACTAATAATATACTGTAATATTAGGTCGATCATAATAATAAAGATCTAATCCTTTACCCTTCAATAATTGACATTAACATTTTTTTCTCGGGAGTACTTTTTAGATTTTTTTTCCTCTTTTCGATGTTTCTTTAGTAAAGTACATATATTAATAGTAGGTTCCTAATGTTTTAAATGGTAATGATTGTCAAGAGAGAGAGAGTTACAGTGGCATTGGCATAGCTTATAATTGCAGTGATTGCTCAAAATAATCTGAGATACTGAGAAATCTGTCACGGCTCAGTGGTTAAAGCGTTCGTTTAGATAGGGTGAGATCGCTGGATTCATCATTGTAGAATAGAAAAATGGTACTTGGTACTTAAAAACTGTTGTTTATATTTTAGCTTGTAGACAAATTAGTGTCATATTTAAGACATTGCGAATTAATATCGAAAATCCCAAAATTTTGCCACATGAAGGGAAAATACCTTAAATATTGTAGATAGAAAATTCCCTGAAGACAGACTTCATGTTTATTTTAATAACAATACGAACTGCATTCACAGATTAACAAGATATTGCTCGTCAGTATTAACTGTGAAAATTAAATTACCGGTAATTTTATTGTACCGATGGAAATGGAATCATGCATATCTATTTCTTCGTATTAACACAGCATCTTAAATAAAAAGAAGATCATGAAACGTAAGGTTTAATTTAAAATGTTGGTCGGAATAATATAATTAACAAAAATATTTTTAAGCATGTAACTGATAGATGTTTAAATCTAAAAAAAAAATACTAGAAAGAATTCCACACGGACCCAAAAAAGGTAGTGTTATATTACTGGGGGGTCTTTCGTAAGGTGAATGTTCTTTTCCCTGATGGGCGCTTACTACTTTTCTTAAATTACTGTTGTCATGGACTCGTCAAATTTGTATATAAAACTAGTTTTTACGGGTTAATGCACGAAAACTTTATTTATTTATTGACGTTTCGTAGCCTTTACAGGCTACGTTTCGTAGCCTTTACATACATTACGTGCATTAACCCGTAAAAACTAGTTTTATTTAATGAGTGATGTGCGTGAAAACCTAAGAAACAAATTTGTATATAATGATTTTTGCACACTGAATTAGGAATGAGGCAATGACGTAGTGATTCAAGTAAGGCTTGTTTTCACTTTCACTGCGAACGATGAGATTTCGAGCTCCATTTAGAGATATGTGAATATTGATTTATCAAGTTTTTTTATTTAAAAATTATGGTAAATAAACATATATGCTTAATTGTGCTCAGCTCAAACAAACAACGTTTTCTTATCGTGCCAACATTTACTACTAGCTGTGCCCCGCCGTGTTACCCGCGGTTTATTAGGTATATTTTCCCGCAGTAAAACGTAGCCTATGTGTTAATCTAGGCTGTCAGATTACTCCATACCAAATTTTTATTAAAATCGCTCCAGCCGTTTAGACGTGAAGAAGTAACAAACATACGCACTAACACACTCACAAACTTTCGCCTTTATAATATTAGTGTGGTTAGAATCTATGGCAGCCTAAGTGTTTGTTCAGGTCATTTACGATTTGCAACCCCTCCCCTAGAATTTGTTAATTAAATCAATTCAAAACATAACTCAGTAACGAATGCCCCTCATCCTGAGCAGATGAGCAGCAGTAAATACGCCCCTGAATTTGCTGCGAACCGTGATTGTCAGTGATAATAAATAAATTCAATAAGTTTTCTTCTGCGAACCTATCAGAATAAAATCTGAACGAAAAATCTGTGCCCTTGTACATATATGATTAGACGACCTCCGTGGTCGAGTGGTTTGTACGCCGGGTTTCAAGGTGTCGCTTACTAGTGAGGTCCCGGGTTTAAATCCCGGTGGGGCAGATGTTTGTGTGATAAATACGAGCATTTGTACTCCAGTCATGGATGTTTAATATGTATTTCTATATAAATATACTTATATATGTATCAGTATATATATGTATTCTACGAGTATGTATTCTATCCGTTACCCTAGTATCCCATAACACAGGCCTACAGTGCTTACTTTGGGGCTAGGCTTATTGGTGTGAGTGTTAGAAATATTTATTTATTTATTTATTTATTCATAGATTAACCATTAACATTGTCATGGTGGGAATCAAACCGCAGACCTCAAAAGTACCGATGCCACAACAGGTCTGATACATGTGAATATATTCGAACTAATATTATAAAGCTGAAAAGATTGTTTGTTCTGAACGCGCTTATGTCAGGAACAACTGTTATTATTTCAAAAAATATTTTTTGTGTTGGATAGTGCATTTAATAACATAAGGACAACTATAAAAGATAGGAATACGACCAATAGGAGCGGAGCACCAATGAAAATGTTGCAAAAGCGGGGAAGAATATTATTTATGAAAATTTGTGAGCTTTCGTTACGTACGCTGCGTAAACGATAGAAGTTGTACGTAAATCATATATGACGGAATTCCCTTCAAAAGTTCTATACAAAAGTCTGTGGCAGCATATGTCTATCTTTTAAGGGTGACCCACTATAACCTTCTTTCTTCAACTCATGCGGGAGAAACCGCAGGGCACCTCTAGCAACTAATATTTTAACAAGAAGAACCTCATTAAACAATAAATATATATTATTGTTTAATGAGGTTCTTCTTGTTACAAATATTGTTGAATGAAGTTCTTGACCTCTATTTAAGCACCTGTGTGTCAGATGTCAGTGCCCGATTCCGAATATACATAGATCTTTTATTTATGTAAAAAAATAAAGGCCAAACTTCAGAAAATAGGTGACCACTAGAAATAATTAAAATTTAAATATTTATTCTACATGAAATTCCAAATAGATTTACGTATGAAAAAAACCAGCCAAGTGCGTGTCGTGCCACACGCAGTGTATGGTTCCGTAGTTTCCTTTCGTTACCACAGTATATTTGACCAGGAATCTGTACCGGAAAAAATAAATAAAAAAAGTGTTTTTTTTTAAGATTTCGTTTTTCCATGTAAGGTTTTACGTTACAATCACTTCATCTATGTCACTTTTAATGTTTTCTTCCAAGGAATTTCAATAGGCAAGAAACTTTCTTTAACCAAAGTTGAACTATTAATTACTGTTAAACTAAGAAATCAATCGTAACTGCTATAATTTTTTTTAAGCTTTATTATCATGAATTTTTACAGGTTTTTTAAGCTCATAGTTTAGCTTTTATAGGGGTGGGCTCATAGTTTAGCTTTTATAGTCATTAAAATCCCAAAATTATTTTAAAGGGACTATTTAACGATATCCCACACGATGGGTTAAACGATGAAAAAAAAATCATCCCCAGGTTACATGTAGGGGAGCAACCCTAAAAAAATATTCTACCATTTTGTCGGCTTGATTGATATACCTATCTCCACAAAATTACAGCTCTCTAGCGGTAACAGTCTCCAAGCAAAACCGGAGACGGACAGACAGACGGACATGACGAAACTACAAAGGTTCCTTGTCAGGACTACGGAACCCTAAAAAAGAGCAAAAAAACAAGCATGTTTGTCGTGAAAGTTACCGGCACCGTTAGCGTTTACTTTCTACTGGCCGACCAGAAAGAGACAACTGGTTCGTGATTCAACATTATTAAGAACTATAAAAACCACTGATTTGATCCCTGTTTTTGATACATTTTTGTATAACAAAATACTGAGAAATTGCAAAAAATTTCACTATAACTCTAGAATGGAGTAGATTTATATATATATATATATATTTAAATACGGTTAGTTAAGGTTAATAATAATAAAGCAGAAATCACGAAACTCTATCGAAATATTAAGCTACTGAAATGTACAAACCGCGACAATAAGTACAAAATATGCTCCAGTGTGATTCATACCAAAACTATTTGGCTCAATAGCCGTTTTGTTTTTTTTGGAAGGCCTATTTTATTTTTATCATTTTGTTGCTTTAAATATAGCAACAAATTGTTGTTTAGCCCTTCCGTAAAAAACAAAACTGCTATTAGTTAGAATTTGCCATAAACATTGAACTGCCTCAATCGATTTCGAACCAATTATTATAACTATGTAACATAATTCAATTTAAATTTGGGGAAATCTCTTAGTTTCTGGCAACTATCATTAGTAAATGGAATGTTTAAAAAAAAAACAATCTGAAAACCCGAAATAGAAGAAGTTAAGTTTATAAGTATTTTCTGGAACTCCTTTGATCAGATTTAGAAAATGCGGTCACCAGCGGAAATCCACATTATTTATGAGTGACAAAGGTTATATTTTAATCTCGTAAAAATTCAACATCGAATGCAGTGAAGCGAAGCGAGCGTTAAGTGCTTAATTGCACCAATGATTCGTCACTCTCGCTGCTCAATATAACAGAAATGAGTTAATTTAGGTTAGGTTACGATCAGGCTGGTATGTTCTTTTAAGAATAAAAGCCCCTAAATAAATAAAGATTTAAAAAAATCTCGTTTATCTAAATTTCATTCGTGCAATGTTGGGTGGGATACACAATTTTATTATGTCATTACGATCACAAAGTTTTGATCATAATACCTTGACATTGATGTCGATTCCGGCATGATTCTCTAAAGCTAAACTTAAATTTGACAACAGTGTATCTTTGTCATTCTCTATACAGAATGAAAGGGACAGATTGATGTTAAATTTAGTTTTAAGTTTAGAGAATCCTGCCAGAATCGACGCCATTCGCTGTTCTCAGGCCCTTATAAATATCTAATTTCTTTTCTACCTTCGTTCCAGGTGGGAAGTAATCACCTGGTGATGCAAACAGCCAAGAACATCCTCTACGGCGACTCCAAAAACCTTCAGCCCTGGGGTCTGATCATCCTTCTCCTCTCCAAATCCGTGAAAACTTCAGCACCACAGCTGAAGAACATTGAAGAGCAGCAAAAAAATCTAGCCGAGCTCACCGAAATGATAAGAACAGGCCATTTGATACACCACGGTATCGTCAACGTGCCTTATAATAAGCGTTCTAAAAACACAGAATCAGCAATTTTTGGCAATAAAATTGCTTTACTGCTTGGGGATTATCTTCTAGTGACAGCTAACGGGATGCTAGCGGAATTGAGAAATTCTGATGTGTCCTACATAATTTCCACTGCTCTTAAAGATCTATCTGAAGGAGAATTCTTTGGGGAGAGAGACGAACAGAACATGCCTATACCGGGAAAGCCGAAAGTGATCGGAGAGGATTTCGAAATAACCTTTGACACGAATTGTATTTCCGTGGATGAAGTTATAGGTAAGCCTAGAAAAGAATGGACGGCCAGGACAGTCTTCAATGGCGTAAGCCTCCTTGGGAGAGGATGCCAATCAGCAATGGTACTCAACAAACAGAATAGAGAAACACAAAACCGCGCTTACCATTTCGGATGCCACGTAGGCTTGGCTTGGCAAGCTGCTGTGGAATTACAGCAGCTAAAATCAGAGTCTAAGGAGCAGTTTTGCTTGGCAAGCGCTCCTGTCTTGTTCGCCCTCGAAGGCAATCCTAACTTATACAAATTTATTGATCAAGCGAAAAACGACGTTAAAGACGTCGATTATGAAGACTTGAAGTTTAATATCCTGAAAACTGATGCTGTTGATAGAACTCAGGCTTTGTATGAGGAACATGCACAGAAAGCAACAGCGTATATAGAGAGTATGGGCCAAAACGAAGCAGTGGAAATGGTTAAAAAATTGATCAATACTTTTTGATGTAATTTATTGTAATTTAAAAATATTGTGTTATTGGCAATAATGGCAGTGGTCCACTTGCAGCAATTTTGTTAAATCTCAATTCAACCAAAACTACATATATCCCATAGCAAAATGTCAATTTCACATTATTGTCTGAGCTTTAACTAGTTTTAGTTAAGTTAAGATTAAGCTGCAAGTGGAGTTAGTCAAAAATATATTATGTGGGTTTTAAACAGAAAGTTATTAAAATTTTCACCGTTTTTTAAATTAGGTAATGAAAATGCAATATCATACATACATATTTATTTCAAGTTTCTAGAGAATATGAAGTGTTCGGTTCGTAAAATTTTGCATACAATCGCCATTGTCTTGTCTATGTTCAGAAAAAATGTATATTTTTAAGACGCAGTAAGATGTATTACGCTATGGTTAAAAAGGGGGAAACTTATGAAAACAATAATCAACTGTGTGGAATATAATTGCTCAACAGTTAAATAGTTTCTTAAGTAGGAAACTAAAGGGATAGTGTAAAGATAATCAAATTTAAAAGTATTAATGTCTTCTACCGATAGAGATAATTAATTTATTTATATAATATAATAATATATCAATCAATATTATACTTTAAATAAAATAAAATAATTGATGGACCTCAAATGAAATAATGATAAGATTAAACATTTAATTTTAATAGTTTTATTTTTTCATTAATTCAAATTTCTTCAGTACCGGTATAATAGAATAGAATTTTATGAATTGGTTTGTCCAGTCCAAAAGTTGCAATTTAAGCGAAATGCACAGAAAAAATATATCCCGTAGAAAAAAATGGACTAGAAGATAGCAACAACTCAACACGAACCTGTTAATTTAACAAATTATCCCACATGCTTCTAGTTCCACTTAATTTATTTAACATAGTGTAGTATCTCTCACTTTGATGCTTATCCCACACTTACATGACGAAGTTTTGGGTGGCTTTGGTACAAAATTAGCGTTCGAACTTTGAATTTATAGCACACAATTTATAGAGCTGAAGTGTAGACTACAGTTTTTGTTCTCAGGCTTGTATTATACACAATGATATTCATCCATGATCCTTCTTATACCTGCATGCAAAGTCTCAGCCCGATCGGTTTAAAATTGACAAAGTTTCATACAAACTTTCATTCCCTATTTTATCCCCTTGGGGGTAGAATTGATCAAAATCCTTTCTTAGCGAATGCCTACGTCATAACATCTACCTGCATGCCAAATTTCAGCCCAATCCGTCCAGTGGTTTGGGCTGTGCGTTGATAGATCACTATGTCAGTCAGTCATCTTTGAGTTTTATATATATAGATTTAGTACCAAAGTTGCAGCAGGTGTGGGAGAAGTACGACAATCTAGCACGAACCAATATCGCTAATGTATCTTAATCAGTCTTAAAATCACGAGTTTTAATACAGAATTAGTTTCACTTATGAACGGAATAGTAACAATAGTGTTACTAATTAAGTTTAAGCAAGCATTAGTATTCAGATGTTACGTTTAGGATAGAAATGATCTTCCACGCGCTGATGAAATGCCTGGATTAGAGTATTTCGAGAAAAAGTTTGGAAAGTAAGGAACGTTCAGATTATTTAAGAAGTCGCCCGCAATTTAATTACTTATACTATACAGAGTAAAGAGAAAGACCTGCTTGCTATTGCAAGTGTCTACAAGTTGGGGCTTCCATGCCGCAATTAGCGTACCTACCAGGCCTGGTCACCGGGCACGGTTTGCAATCTCTAGTATTGGTCCGGAAACACTGCTTGTGACAATGTATTCGTCACAGTTTTTTCATACGTGGCTAATTTACTTAAGGTTTTTGTTTAATATTGACTGAGAAAATTTGATAAAGTATGTAGTTACAGTTGATTAAGGGCTAGCGCATATATACAACTTTTAGTTGAACAACTACAACAAAAAAGTCAAAAAGCTATATCGATCTGCTTTTGATTAAAAAGTTGGACAACTATCGATCAAACGCTTAATTTGTATTGCATTGTATTGATGTGCACATATCATCGACTAAACAGTCGATCCGCGACTGTCAGTCTCGCATAAGCATTTGGAGCGACTCCACGTCTCTCGTCATCATGGCGGGCTTTGCGGGAACTATTACGGACGGATTCGAAAGAAAATTGGTACACATATAGTTTATGACCTGGAATGAGACATACGATACTTTTTATCCCGGAAAAATTTTAGGTTCCCGAGGGCTTACCAAAAAACTAAATTAAACGCGGACGAAGTCGCGAGCGGCCACTGGTATGTTAATAAATTAATTAATTAAACAAAAATATGTTGTATGATTTTATTTATTAAAAAAAATATACTATGTCGGATTGCCATGGTACAGAGCCTTGAGGAGAAACAAAATAAGACGTTATGTACTGGCAGACATATAAACCACCTGTAAGATTTCTTATACATCTACAGTACCTTCTTTTTTTTTCTCTTTTGAAATTTCTATAAAGTAAAGCACAAATTAGAACTTCCTTGTTAATTGACATTGTATGTAACACCTTGACTCGAGCGTTGCTAAATAAAGACTGGTCGAATTGAGGAGATTAAAAATATCGATGATCGACTGCATCAACTGTATGCGTACCTCCATCAACTAAACGGTTTAGCTGTGTGGAAATCACGAGAACTACAAAACGCGACAAAACAGTTTAGTCGATGCAAAAGTTGTATATATGTGCTAGCCCTAACTAGCTACTATTCCAAGCAAGCTACCTTGTGAACTTATTATTAGAGCTATGTCAAAAATTATATTTTAGCATCTTGGTGCTAAGTGTTATTCCTCATAATTATGCTTCGATCAACAATTCTATACATAACGGGTGAACGCGTAAAATCCGAATCGGTAAATATAGCTTCACTTGAGGTGTGAGATATTATTTGAAATTAGTTCGGTTAATACAAAACGAAGTAACTCGCTGGCCAATGATTAGTAAAAATATTTTATTTTGTGGGTCATAAGGTTGATTTCACATTTTCCTTTTTTCACTTTTATCGTTTTTTCCAAGTATTACATATAATTTATAAAAGGGAACAACGGTTCGTTTTATAAGATAAAAGGTCGTATGTGCGAAATAACATGTTCTCCTAGCCGTTTTCTTTCAATTTCACATTAAAACTATAAATACAAAAAAACTATCTTTAAAACTATATATACCCACTTATTATATTGCTAAAACTTACCTGTATCTTCTGAGAAGTGGTTGCACTGTGCCGAATTTCGTCTAGTGGCATCTGCACGATCCTACAAGAAATGACGACATGAGTTACTAATGCTTTTAAACAACATTTTAAGTTTCACTGTGCTTACTAGGATAGCATTGTACCGCTATAAACATAGATGGCGTTGATTTTATAAAGAGAGAGGCGCTCGAAGGCTCAGAGCGCGAGGAGCGGTTTGCGATGACGGTAACAGTTGTGGCACCACTTGCACCAAAGTTATTAATGTCAATTTAAAACTTAATCACGTTTAAGCCTTTTTGTCGTGTTAACGTCTTACAAATCGATGAATACCGGCTTCACGCACGAAAAAAAAGCGATAGTAGAGGCATGATCGGCCCAAGCGTCGGATGTACATATTTTAAACTCTCTTCTCGCACGAAATTATCATGTAAAACTATCGACCGTAAATCAACTGTACAGACAACCAATTTCTTTTAATGGATTCTCCGCCCACCGGGAGAAGCAAGGTGGAGGTATATGTGGATTCCTTCCCTGTACCCCACCTATCGACAGAATGAAACAAACATGGCCCTACCCAGTAAAAACCAAACAATACTCCAGCACCCGACACATATCCCGATACCCACGGTCCTGGCATATGTGTCAGGGGGCGGCCGGACATAGTAAACCCACGGTGGGACTATCCTCGCGTCCGCCGGTGAACACATTTAAGCCTCATGCCATCTCTATTTTACTTAAAACAATTGACAAGGATGGCATGATTTTCTTACTAACAAACATGGTTAAGCCTTAATTTGATTTCCGAACTTTGATACAAGTAGGCCATAAGGCATAGGCTGAGTAAACAAATATCAGATGGGGTTCTCTCGCTTCTTCCTTGAAGCTTCAGATTCAGCCTTTGATCCCAGCTGCATCTTTTATTTTACTAGGGCTCCTTAGGGCACCCTCTCATTGCCAAGTATGGTTCAAGCCATGCTTGGCAATGAGAGGGCCTGGAAGGCTGCCGCCTCCTTCTGCGAATCGGTGATGGGGTAGGAGGCCGCGGAGAGGGAGCGGGAGGAGGACGCTCTAGCCGCTCCCCTCCGACGTAGATGTGTGGGCCGAAGAAGGCAGGCAGCCGTGACTGCCGGTCTTCGTTGGTCCTAAGGTGGTCTGGGTGCGGCTGGGCCGCCGCGTGTCCTAGGTGCCATTCAGCATAGTGCCCTAGGTGCCATTCGGCACAGGCCACCACGTCTGGGGATTGCCTAGTACCCTAGCGCAAACCCCCAGAGGCTTGTCGCCCGGTCCACTCGTTGGGCCGGGCCGGGCCGGGGGCGTCCCGGTGAAATGGCGCACACAGGCGCCGATCCCGAGACGCACCCCTCAAGGGCGTAGGAGGGTACCGGTGGTTTTTAGTGGGTAGGACCGGTGCTGTTCCGCGTCGGGGAGTCCCACAGACGTCGCGCGTCTAGCCAGCGCGCGGTATGGTCCGTAAATGGATTTCCACCGTTAACATAAAAAAAATGGGTGCGTGTACTTATGTAGGCGCGTGAGAAGTTATCCTTCTTTGGCATCGTTTAAAATTAGTTTTTAATTGCATGCAAATAATTAATTATAATAAATTAATAAAAAGTCTGGAAAAGGACACAGTCAATAAAGTTCAGTTTTAATTTGAAAAAATAAATAAATAATCAAAATATTCAATTAAAATCGCTACTGAATATAATTTATTAGAACATATGTGATTTGCACTTGTATGAAACTCAAACACGTATTCCGAATATACAAACTAGAAACATGTGGATAAATATTATAAATATGAATACCTATAACTGTTACTTTATTACAAAAAATAAAGATGTGGTTTTTGGTTCTACTACACCAATGGTCAAGAGATGGCGCTGTAGTCTCCTGAATCGCGCTTTGGTTCCGTTGTTCCAGATTAATAAATACTTTTGATATTATAAATATGAATACCTATAACTGTTACTTTATTACAAAAAATAAAGATGTGGTTTTTGGTTCTACTACACCAATGGTCAAGAGATGGCGCTGTAGTCTCCTGAATCGCGCTTTGGTTTCGTTGTTCCAGATTAATAAATACTTTTGATAGGCCTTCACAATGCAGTCGTTAGCACCCACTAAATAGAGATTCTATTTCTAT